GACTACTTGGATGGATAATGACTGTAAAATCTGTTGGGTGGCTAGCCTCTAGCTTGATGATCTAAGTCTTCTTTAATAAAAATCCAAAAGATGCCTTGGTGTCCCTTCAAAATGTGTCTCCATTCAACGAATCTTCTAGAAGTTGCCTCCTTAAAAGCGAATTGAATGAATTTTTGTGTCCATGGGATTTTTCCCATGTTTTTACCAAGGGTCGCTTCAAACACCTCTTCAATACTTCATCTAAATTCAATGAATCATCAAATAACTACTCTGGATCTTAAGTGTGGGGTACTTGGTGCTTAGGCGCGAGCCACTTGCGCTTAGGCGTCAGACCTGGGCGCTTAGGAGCCCCAGTTCATTTTTGCACATTTCCTTATTTTTGCTCCAAATTTAACCCTTTTTCACTCCTTTTAGCATTTTTCATCCATTTTATTGTACCTGACACACAATTACCTTCATTAACGCTCAAAATCTCATAAATAGGTATAAAAATATGTATAAAAACATTATATATTTTAGGTATATCATTCCCCCATTCCAGATTTACAACATTAGAGTTTTTGTTACTCCAACTAAAATTCAGGTGATTTTTCCAACCAAGATTATAATAATTGGAATAAGGAATATTAGACCAATTATTTATTGCATTTAAGGTCTCATAAGAAGATTAAGATTCTATCAATTTTTCCAATGAGTTTTCCTCAAGTATAGGAGATGTCTAAAAATAATTCATTCCATATTGATCTATCCTCTTTCATATAGTAGCTATTTGAGCAGCTGACATAGATATTGCATCCGAATCATGAAAACTAGTTATTTTTTTTGGATTTAACCTTTCAGAGGGCCCTCGAAAATTATTAGTAGTCATCTCTTCAATTAAATATAATGCTACATTGAATGGCCTTGACATTAATGATCCACCAGCAACAACGTCAACTATCGATCTAAGAGATCCAACTAATCCATTATAAAAAGTTTGAATTATTAGAATCTGACAATGCATGGTGTGGACACTTTCTAAGAAGATCATTAAATCTTTCCCAGGCTTCATAAATTGATTCTTGTTCAATCTAATAAAAAGATGTAATTATTTTTCTAAGCTTAACAATTTTTGAAGATGGGAAATAATTGTCTTAAAACTTTTGTGATAAGTCTCCCCAAGTTTTGATAAATCCAGATACTAACGAGTTTAACCACATCTTAGCTATATCACTTGATGAAAAATGAAAAAGTCTAAATTTGATGACATCCTTCGACACTCCATCATATTTAAAGGTAGCACACAATTCTAAAAA